GGCTTGTCGTTCCCGCAGTGCGCGGCCGTGAGCACCCAACTCTTGTCCACCAGGACGCCCGCGCAGTGGAACGAGAGGCCATTGAAGAGGGAGACCTGCCAGGGCTGCGAGCCGCGCGCGCAAGGGGCGCCGGAGGCCACGGGGTCCGAGCCCGTGTCGTTTACGGGGAGCAGCAATGCCTCCGCGGCCCAGAGTTGTGCCGTCAGCAGCGGCAGCAGCAGCTTCGCCAGGGCCCGGGCACCCGAGGTGGCGGAGAGGTGGAGGTGCGGGGATCTCATGGCCTAGGCTGGGAGTCGCCGAGGGGAAGAAAGCAGGAGACCCAGAAGTACCTCTGCCCTGCCGCGTGGGCCGCCGGAATCCTCTGCCCTCTATTGAACATTTAAAGAAGAATTAACACCAGTTCTCTTCAAACTCTTTCAAAATATTGAGGAAGTGGAAACACATCCAAACTCATTCTACAAAGCCAGCATTACATTAATACCAAAACCAGATCAGAATACCACAAGGAAAGAAAACTATAGACCAATATCTCTGATGAATATAGATACAAAAATTCTCAAAAAAATATCAGCAAACTGAATTCAAGAACACATTAAAAGGATTATACACCATGACCAAGTGGGATTTATCCCTGGAATGTAAGGATGGTTCAACACATGCAAATCAATAAATGTAATTCATTACATCAATAAAAACAAAAGATAAAAGTCAGATGATCATCTCAATAGATGTAGAAAAAGCATTCGACGAAAATATCCTTTCATGATAAAAACCCTTAACAGGTTGAGTATAGAAAGGACATACCTTAACATAATAAATGGATTAAACTCACAGCCAGCATTATACTCAATGGAGAAAAATTGAAAGAGTTTCCTCTGAGACCAGGAACAAGACAAGGTTGCCTACTCTCACCATTCCTATTCAATATAGACTGGACATTGTAGCTAGAACAATTAGGCAAGACAAAGAAATGAAAACCATCCAAATTGGGAAGGAAGAAGTAAAATTGTCACTATTTGTTGACTATATGATCTTATATATAGAAAATCTCAGAGTCAATCAAGAAACGTTGGAATTAATCAATGATTTTAGTAAAGTGGCAGGTTACAAAATTAACTTACAGAAATCAATGGCATTCCTTTACACTAATCAAGCGTTGGAAAAAGAAAGAAAGAAAACTATCCCAATCTCAATAGCATCAAAAACAATAAAATACTAAGGACTAAATTTAACCAAGGAAGTGAAAGATCTGTACAATGAAGACTACAAGACTTTGCTGAAGAAATTGAAGAAGTCACAAATGAGAAGACACCCCATGTTCACAGGTTGGAAGAATAAATATTGTTAAAATGACCATACTACCCAAAGCCACCTACAAATTCAATGCAATCACCATCAAAATACCAAAGGCACTGTTCACAGAAATAGAAGAAACACTCTTAAAATTTCTGTGGAACCACAAAAGACCCTGAATAGCCAAAGCAATCCTAAGAAAAAAGAACAAAGCCAGAGGTATCACACTTCCTGAATTCAAACTATAGTACAAAGCCATAGTAATAAAAACAGTATGATACTGGCACAAAAATAGACACATAGACCAATGGAACAGAATAGGGAGTCCAAAATTAAATCCCAGCATATACGGTCAAATAATATTGGACAAGGGAGCCAAGAACACCTGATGGGGGAAGGTTCTGGGAAAATGGTGCTGGGAAAACTGGAGAAACACATGCATAACAATGAAATTGGACCCCTAACTCACACCACCCCCAAAACTAACTCCAAGTGGATCAAAGACTTAAACGTAAGACCTAATACATAAAACTCCTAGAAGAAAACATAGGGAAGAAGCTTATTAATATTAGTCTTGGAAATGATTTTTGGACCTGATGCCAAAAGCACAAACAACAAAAGCAAAAATCAACAAATGGGGCTACATCAAACTCAAAAGCTTCACAATAGAAGAAACAATTAACAAAATGAAATGGCAGGCTACAGAATGGGAAAAAATTTTTGCAAACTGTATATTGGATAGGGGATTAATAACTAAATTATATAAAAAACTAACACAACTTAATACCAAAAAAACAAACAACCCAATAAAAAATAGGCAGAAGAACTAAATAGACATTTTTCCAAAGATGACATCAAAATTGCCAACAGGAACATGAAAAGATGCTCAACATCACTAATCATCATGGAAATGCAAATAAAAACCACAGTGAGATATTACCCCACATCTGTTAGAATGGCTGTCATCAAGAAGAAAGGAGACAAATGCTGATGAGGATGTGGTGGAAAGGGAACACTTATACACTGTTGGTGGGAATATAAATTAGTCCAGCCACTATGGAAGACAATTTGGAGGTTCCTCAAAATATTAAAAATAGAACTACCATATGATCCAGCAATTCCATTCCTGGGCATATACCCAAAGGAAATGACAACAAGATTTTGATGAGATATATGCACACCCGTGTTTATCGCAGCACTACTTACAATAGCCAAGATATGGAGACAACACAAATGCCCATCAATAGATGAATAGATTAAAAAATGTGGTATATATACACAATGGAATATTATTCATCCATGAGAAAGGAGGATTTTCTGCCGTTTGTGACAACATGGATGGACCTTGAGCATGTTATGCTGTGAGATGAGTCAGACAGAAAGACAACTACTGTATGATATCACTTATATGTGGAATTAAAAAAAGTAAAACCTGTAGGGGCTGGCCCCTTGGTGTAGTGGTTAAAGTTCGGCATACTTTACTTCGGTGGCCTGGGTTCGCAGGTTTGGATCCCGGGCAGGGACCTACATCACTCGCCCACATACAGAATAGAGGAAGATTGGCAGAGGTGTGAGCTCAGGGCTAATATTCCTCAAGCAGAAAAAAAAATTTTTAATTAAAAAAAAGTAAAACCTGTAAAAAAAACACAACAGAGTAAAATGGTAGTTACTAGGGGATGGGGAGTGGGGGAATAAGATTGATGGTGTTTATGGGTACAAACTTGTAACGAGTAGTAAATAAGCCATAGAGATCTAATGCACAGTATAATGAATATAGACAATAATATTGTACTATAATGATGTGATAAATATTGCTTCAATGGCAATCATATTACAATATATATGTATCAAAGTAACAGTGTACACTATAAATTTACAAAATGCAACATGTCAAATTTATCAAATAAGAAAAGTGATTATTGATATAGTTGGATTAATGTCTACCATATTGTTACTGTTTTCTATTTGTTGCTTTTGTTTTTTGTTCCTATTTTGTCTTCCACTCTTTTTCTACCTATTGCAGTTTTATTTAAGCATTTTATATGATTCCCTAACACACTTTTTTTTTGGTGTGTGGAATCCTTAGGGTTTTCTACATATAAGATCATTTTATCTATGAATTGATAATTTACTTTTTTCCACTTTGGAGAATTTTGTTCTTTTTCTTGCCTAATTGCTATGGCTAGATCTTCCAACACTATGCTAAATAGAAGCGTTGAGTGGGCATCCTTGCCTGGTTCCTGATCTTAGAGGAAAAGCTTTCAGTCTTTCACTGTTGAGTATGTTAGCTTTGGGCTTTTCATATATGACAATTATGTTTAGGTATTTTCCTTCTATTCTTAGTTTGTTGAGCGTTTTTTTTTTTTTTTTTTTTTAATCTTGAAAGGATGTTGAGTTTGGTCAAATGGTTTTTCTGCATCAATTGAGATAATCATATGCCTTTTGTCCCTCCATTCTCTTAATGTGGCATATCACATTGATTGATTTTCATATGTTGAAACATCTTTGCATTCCAGAAATAAATCCCACTTGGTCATGGTTTATAATCCTTTTATGTGCTGTTGAATTCACTTTGCTAGTATTTTCTTGAGGATTTTTGCCTCAATATTCATAAATGATCTTGGTAGTTTTCTTGTCTTGTAGTGTCTTTGATATCTGGGTAATACTGGCCTCATGGAATGAGTTTTGGAAGTGTTCCTTCCTCTTCCATTTTTTGAAAGAGTTTCAGAAGGATTAATGTTAATTCTTCTTTACATTTTTGGTAAAATTCACCAGTGAAGCTATCTGCACCTGGGCTGTTCTTTTTAGAGTTTTTTGATTTCTGATTAAATCGTCTTACTAGTTATAAGTCTCTTCAGATTTTCACTGTCTTCATGACTCAGTCCTGGTAGGTTTTGTGTTTCTACAAATTTGTCCATTTCATCTATATTATCCAATTTCATGGGCATATAATTGTTCATAGTACTGTTTTATACTCCTTTTTTATTTTTGTAAAACTGGCAGTAATGTCCCCTCTTTCATTTTTGATTTTAGCTGTTTGAGTTTTCCTTTTTCTTAGTCAATATATTTAAAAGTTTGTCAATTTCATTCATCTTTCAAAGATCCAACTCTTGGTGTCCTTGATTTTTCTGTATTGTTTTGCTATTTTCTATTTCATTTATCTTTGCTGTAACATTTCATTTATTATTTTCCTTCTACTTTTTGGTTTAATTTGCCCTTATTTTTATGTTCTCTTTGGCGTAAAATTACATTGGTAGAGACCTTTTTATTAATGTAAACTTTTACAGCATGAATTTTCCTCTTAGCACTGCTTTTGCTGCATTCCATAAATTTTGGTATTTTGTGTTTGTATTTTAATTTGTCTCAAGGTATTTTCTAATTTCCCTTGTGATTTCTTCTTTCAGCTTTTTTGAGGTATAATGGACAGATAGGAATTGTATATATTTAAGGTGTACAACTTGATATTTTATATACATTGTGAAATGATCACCACAGTCAAGCTAATTAACATGTCAGTTGCCTCAGAGAGTTATTAATTTTGTGTGTAAATGTGTGTGGTGAGAAAACATAACATCTACCCTCTTAGCAAATTTCAAGTGTACAATTACAGTATTGTTAACTATAATTCCCATGCTGTACATTAAATCTCCAAAACTTATTCATCTTGCATAACTGAAACTTTGTCCTTTGACCAACATCTCCCCCATTTTCCCCTCCCTCTATCCTTGGCAACCAGTGTTCTGCTCTCTGCTTCTGAGTTCAACTTTTTTAGATTCTACATGTAAGTGAGATCATGCAATGTTTGCCTTTCTCTGTCTAGCTCTTTTCATTTAATGCCTTCCAGTTTCATCCATGTTATCACAAATGGCAGGGTTTCCTTCTTTTTTAAAGCTGAATAATATTCCTCTGTGTGTGTGTGTGTGTGTGTGTGTGTGTATCACATTTTCTTTATCGAGTCTTCCATCAACAGGCATTTTGGTTGTTTCCCTACTTTGGCTATTGTCAATAATGCTGCAGTGAACTTAGTGCAGATATCTCTTTGAGATCCAGGTTTCATTTCCTTTGGATATA